GCCATGTTGAATGAAAACTTTAAGTTTGTTCATTGGGGGTATTGGTTTAATATTATTGTTATACTTAATATGAATACATTATGTGTACTTAATAAATTACTGAGTACGATTATTTCAAAAAAGTATATTAATATGGCAACGTTAGCAGTTTTAATTTCGGATGTGTGGTCAATTTATTGAAATACAACAGTGTTCATTATGTAAATTTCAAAATTTAATTCATAGTATCAGATATATAAACCAAATGTTTTCTAGGCATAAATATACAACTGACAGCAAATATTTTTCTGCGCATAAACTTATAACTGACTTCACATATACAGTATCAAATATGCTTTTTTGATGCGATTAATGAAGACGTTTTTAGCATGAAAACGCTTTCAGTCACCCCTAACAAAAAACATTGAATGTGTTTTTTACCAAAATCGTCTTCAATAATCCCCTCAGAAAATTATTGTGTGAAATATTAAAGGCATTTTGGGCAAAAAACGCCTTCAATAATACCAACTAAAAATCAATAAAATGGATTATGAATGGCGTTTTCCTACGAGTAATGCTTTCAACAATCCCTAACATAATGTTTATGAAGGCATTTTTGGATATAGCCGCCTTCAATAATCCAACCATTAAAATTTATCGTTGGGATATTAAAGGTGTTTTGAGCCAAGAATGCATTCAAGCATCACATCTAAGTTTTGTCTATGGTGTTTTTTACAAAACTGCCTTTAAAAATCATAAAAAAAATTTACTGATTGGATTATAGAAGGCGAGTTCGACTAAAAACGCCATCAAGAATCGACTCCATATTTTTCTTATGGATTATTAAGGACGTCTTTCCACGAAAAATGCCTTCAATATTCTATGAAAATTTTTTTAAAGCAATGGGTGAAGGCGTTTTTGCCAAGAAAATGCCTAAAATAATCAATAACAAATAATCTATGTAAAAACCCAAAAAAAGGCTAAAGGACGAATCGAACCAACAACCTTATGGTAAACATCCGTACGATCCAAACAATTTGATAAGCTTAATATTGAATGTTATTTTGAACAAAATAAATTCAATAAGCTTATAGAATTTTTTGGTCCAAATATTAAAGGTGTTTCTTGTAGACAACGTTTTCATTAATCTCATACAATTTTTTATGATGTGATTATTGAAGAAGTTGTCTGCCAAAAATACGCCTTAACTATTCATTAAAATTTTTAATAAAAAATATTCAAGGCGTTTTAGTCGAGAAACGCCTTTAATATCAAGTCTTGGGTGGCGTTTATAAGTAACAACGCCACTATTTGAATATTTAGTGGCATTTGGATAATAAGCGCCTAAAGTTTTATAAAAACATGAAAGCTAACGACATTTGTAAGTGAAAGCCGTACAAAACTACCGCTAATACATCATTTTGTTGTAATACTTTCACCATGTAACATTTAGCTCCCGTCTGATTAGTACCTACTGTGATACCATTTGTGGAGATCCGTACCTAACATGTGAGGTATTGTCTACTTTGTCCCAAAAATTTCATAATTTTGTCCTATAAAAAACCCTCACAAATTTGGATTTAAGCATCTACTTATAAATTATAGTAAATTCTCATAATCTTTCGATATAAGATTAGAGTGTTATAGTATACATAGCCATTGGGATAATTTTACCAAGCTCTTTTAGCCACCATGACTACCCAATTAATGCCATTTGATAAGTTACACTTTTAAAATCAAAATATATGTATTTACACATATATTTATTAAGAGAGATCTTACATGAAGACCTATAAGCATTAAATTGTTGGTATTTAACAAAATTTTAATAACTTTTAATTATCGGAATCTATAATATAAAAAAATTACTTCAATTGGATGTCTAGGTAAAAATAAAACAAATGTGAGCCAAGTCTAGACTTGGATAATGTACAATCTTAAATTTATTAATTTTATCGGATAAAAGGAAGCATTAAAATTGGTATACGGAGTATGGTAGTTTTGCAATAATTGTGAATCACCCTTGTAGTATAGATAAGAAAGGTTCTAATTAGATTTGATAATCTAAAATATAATACAAGGGTGCGGCATAAAAACAATACAAATAAAGATTTGAAAGCGATAAGATTTAAAGTTTTAGCAAAATTATATTTGGGTTTAACAAAGTAAAAATATATACCTATATTTTATATTTTTGTATCGACACAAATTATGACATGTAATTTTCATATAAAATATAACATGAATATATGAATTATTAATATTTTATACGGTAAATACACAAATTATCAATAATTGTCTAGTTTAATTCTAAACTAGACGTCTTGAATCTAATTGAATTAATCTATTTTTTGTAATGTGATTGAATAAATAAAAAATTGCAATATTTACTAGGATGACGTGATAAAAGTTTGAAGTAAAGGTTGCAAATGAATTGAGTTCAATTACTTTGGATTTGAGTGATTTTAAATTCAAGTTTTTAGAGTTTAGATCATTTTGAATTCGTGTTTTATCAAGTTCAAGCTTTTAATTTTTTTAAAATCAAAATCAATTAAATATGATTTCGTGTGGATGAGTTTTTGTGTATTGAACATTTAGACAAATAAAAACTAATCAAACTATAAATCATTTACAAAAGAAACAGTAATTTAATATAGTTCGATCCAATTAAAAATAGTCTACATCCATAGATAATAAAAAAGATCCATTAATTTAATATGATTACAAATCATCATCAACAATCAAATAATCACTCACAACTCATAATCACTACCTATAAATCATCTTATTTTTCTCTAATCCTTGGAGTATTTTCAACTAAACAAACATTCACAATATTCATGAGAACCCTCTTATTATCTTTTAGTCTACTCAAACAAACATTAAAACATATACACATATAAAACTCTCTGAATCTCTTATAGTATTATGATATATCTATTTTGATAAAATCTTATAATTTTTTTACATCTTTCTCGCATGCTCAACCTTATTAAGATTACCACTATTCATAAACATGTTAATTTGCCTATCAAAAATTGAATTCTTTTTCTTTTAAAATTTTTTTCTTGCAGATCTTCCACTCTATTAAGTAATATCTAGTCAATATCAAAAAAATCTCAAGAAAATATTTTATAAGATTTGAGTTATTATTCTTGATTTCATTTGTGTAAGGATTATAATCAATTAAAATATTATAAAAGATTTAACGGTACATATAAAAATATATTTCATGAAATATATGTATATTTATTTCATTTATTAGAAAATTTTGAGCCAATGAAAACTAGTTATAGTTATTTCGATGAACCAACTGATATTATTTGATTATTAAAATTATTTTTAATCTTTTAAAAATGAAAACCTTAAATGTCACAAAATGAAACATACCTAATCACATATAAATTCATAATTAAGGTATATATTTGTTAAATTACATATAAGAATGTATGATACAAGCATATATTAAAATAATCCCAACAAACATGAGCAAGATCAGAAAAAAAAAATTATAAGTACATGATTATTAAAATGTGATGCCCCATCTATAAATTATAAATATATTACTCAATCCAAAGCAAAAAAGTCAGCTGATTAACTAATCCCTAAAAAAATTAAAAACTTTCCATGTTTCACTGACTTTGTGTAAACAAGTATAAAACAAGTTTTAGTTAAAAAAATATATAAAGATAAGAGGAGAGGTCCACTTAAGTATTATATTTTTTTCTATTATTGGATGACAAATTGTCTAATGATATTATTAGGAAATATGATGTAAATAAATAGAATGTTCTATGAATAATTTGTGAATATACTTATTTTTGTTAGTTTATATTTATTTATTAAATTAATAAATGTCATGAATAATGTTTAAAAAATTGTTAAATTAAATGAATAAATTATGAATATAATAAATTTTATTTATATTCGATTTGTTTACACCTAAAAAATATTCGATAAACAGTTCGTGAATAAATTTTATTTTTATTCGTTATATTTATTTATTAAATTTAATAAATAACTATAAATTTTATTTCAAGATTTGTTTATTAAATGAAAGATCATAAATATAAGATGATATTTAAGAAAGGTAATATCTAATTAATACATTGTATTTTCTAAAATTTAATGAAGTAGTGCATTAAATGCAAAATTTTTTCTAAAATAATATTATCAATCAATATCTATAAATACCTATTAATTAGAGTCAATACTATATTCTTTTTTTTTTTGTTGTTTATTTCTTTAAAATTTGAAAACCCAACATGATTATTAATATCTTATTTTATATTTATTTGCTATGTTTTTAATTTTAAAATGTTGACATTAAAAGAAATAAATTCATTTAATAATTTATTCACCTAATTAATTCCTAACTCCCAATCTGACCCTCCAACAAACATAGCCGACATTTGTAAATGCACTTCTTTTCCATTTGTATTTTACCGACTACGTAAATTTATTTATCCCAATTAATGAACTTAAAAATAATAATAATAATAATATGACGAAAGTACCCTTAATATTGCTCCTAATTAGAAAGCTTTTACCTTGGAGGCAAAAGTAAACTCGATAATTTTACGCATAACAAGATAATATGATAAAAATAATATAAAATATAAAATAATATTATTTAAAAATTTAATAAATTATATTAAATTTTACACAAATAAAAAAATTATATTTTGTATATAATATATTTACGTAATGATAACATAATAATTTTTATATTTTATAAAATTATATTTTAAATTAATATATCAACATAAACCATTACATAAATTTTTATATTTCATATATATTCAACAAAAAATAAATACAATAAAATAAATGCAAGATAAAAATATCTTCGAAACTGTAACTGAATGGCATGAATGCTACCGTCACGTCAGCAACGGATGCCAAATAGAAATTAATTACAATTTAGACAAAGATTTCAAATCCGACTCGTGTTTAAGTTCGACGAGAATGTAACCATTTTGCATGTCCAAAATTAAAAAAAATAATAAGAAAAAAGAAAAAGAAAAATATTTTTATAAAATGGGAAAACCAAGGCGAAAGATTTAATTCCTCGAGATTTTTTTTGTTTCTTTTTTTTGGCGACGGCAAAAGATAGATTACTTCACCGCCACAGTCGACGGCCTAACTGTACGGCGACGCATGGCGATCTTCGACCGGCAACAGCGGAGCTCCGAGAGGAAGGTGTTTAGCCTTTTTCACTTTTGGCAAACTTCCGCCACGACAAACAACTCTTCCTCTTCTTCCTCCACTCAAAACCTCAACCACAATGGCAACCGCTATACGGATACGGTTACCGCCAAGCGCTTCAAAACCGTCTCTTTTATAGCCAGATCGCTTCTCCCTCCTCGCCGCCGGCTTCGCCTTGATCCTACTAATAACCTCTACTTCCCTTGTAGGAGCCCACTTTGCTTAGCTGTTCACTTCGTCGCTTTGTTTAAGCTAAATTTCTATGATCTTTAATTTTTCACTTTTTTTTTAATTATAGATGAGCCTGGAACTCAGACGAGAAGTGCGATCAGGTTGAAGAACACTAGTAAATCTCACGTAGCTTTCAAGGTAAAATTAAATTACTAATTTTTTTATTTACTTCTCTGGTTTCTTACGTCAAAATTTACTGTAATTTCCGCATTTTTCATTTAAAATTATGATTTTTCAATGAATTAATATTAATATTCGCGACAGTTATAACGGTTATTTTCTTAAATATAATATTAATTTTTATAATTAAAATAGCATAATATTTGATAATTTTATTGAATTATCTAGCTGTTTTACTGTCTTTAATTAATTAATTGATTGATTTTTGTTATTATTAATACTAATATTCGCGACAGTTATAACGGTTATTTTTAAAAATATAATATTAAATTTTACAATTTTAATAGCATAATATTGATAATTTTGTTGAATTATCTCGTTGTTTTACTTTCTTTAATTAATTAATTGATTGATTTTTGTGTATTATTAATACTAATATTCGCGGCAGTTATAACAGTTATTTTCTGGAATATAATAGTAATTTTTACAATTAAAATAGCATAATATTCGATAATTTTATTGAATTATCTAGTTGTTTTACTTTCTTTAATTAATTGATTGATTGATTTTTGTGTATTATTTATAGTTCCAAACTACTGCACCCAAGAGTTGTTTTATGCGTCCACCTGGTGGCATTTTGGCGCCAGGGGAAAGCATTATCGCGACTGGTAATAAAATCTTTCACCATGATTTGGTTATATTTTGTTGCAATGATTTTGTTTGTGTAATGTTTTTGTTTTGATTTGTTGTGTACAGTGTTTAAATTTGTGGAGCGTCCGGAGAATGATGAGGTGCAGGTGGATTTAAAGAGTAAAGTTAAATTTAAGATAATGAGTTTGAAGGTGACAGATGGGGTGGATTACTTGCCTGAGCTTGTAAGTCAGTAATGTTCTGGCTTGTTATATATTTGCTGTTTTCGAACAATGGAGATCCATCTTTGCATTTCGTTAGCATGAATGAATGAATTCTACCGGAAATTTTCCTCATATTTGAAATCTTGAAGTGGAAGTACTTGTTGTGTTGGTACTGTAGTTGGTTGTTCAAAGTTGGGTAAAGTGGGATTTGGTTTAAAGGCTTTTTAGTTGTTTGGAAAATTGCTCTAGTTTTGTGTGACGATCCAACATGCGCGATGAAGTGTAGTTAGGAAACACATCTTTAATGAGTTCGCATTCATTATGAGTGCCATAGTCATGTTACACCTTCTTTTTGTAAGGCCTGCATGATATGTATTTATTCACAAACTGCAACAGGATACTGTGGGTTTTGGTAGTGTTTAATTCAATAGGTGGTTATAGGATAGGTTCATTCATGTGAAGTGCTAAACAAATTTAATTCTTCTGGTTTTGTCTGCAATCAATGTTTCACTATCATCGATAGGATGCCAGGCCAGCGGGTGTGGGCATGTACGACAGATCCTTTAAAGCATAAGATTTTCCTCAGACTACTTAAAGTTTCCCAATATTTCTTTTTATTTAATACCTAATGTGCTTGTTGGTTATGTGTTATTCCCTGCTAAACTTAAGATGCTGGTGCTAACACAAGAATTTTTATTATGCCTTCTTGTGTACAGTTTGATGAACAAAGGGATCAAGTGACTGTAGAAAGAATTTTGCGGGTTGTGTTTCTAGATGTGGAGCGTCCTAGCCCTGTAAGTAGAAGTGAATTGTTTTAGTAGCGTTTTGCTTTCTGCACTACAGAGCTCTTTTGGTTTACTTCTTGAATGCTTAATAATGCTATTCTTCTTGTATCTTAAGGCATTGGAGAAACTTAAACGTCAGTTGGCTGAGGCTGAGGCTGCTTTCGAAGCACGCAAGAAACCTCCCCCAGACACGGGTCCCAGGGTTGTTGGAGAAGGTCTTGTGATTGATGAATGGGTAATCAACTGTTGATATCATCTCACAATAGTGATCATATTTCGATTTCTTTGCTCATATTATACTTACGTTGGATAATTTCTGTCTACTTTCAGAAAGAGCGAAGGGAGAAATACCTGGCACGTCAGCAAGTTGAAGCGGTAGATTCAACATGAAGTCTTGTTTGCTTTGACTGTATGTGATTTTGTCTTCTTTGGTGGAAAAGGATGCATCCTTTGACCCCCTCTGTAAGTGAGGGAACGCGAAGGGATGACTGACAGCCCCGTTCCTGTAGGACAATGTCAAGGTACCTGACTCTTGTGCTAAAGCCATCCCACTTGTAGATAAAGGGTTTTGTTTTCTCATGAAACTAAATGCAAGGCACAATGCATTATCATATTTGGTTAACTTTTTCGAGGCCGGATTGCTTGTATATGTCACAGGTGTTTAGCCTCGTTTTTCAGATGCAATATTGCCTTTTTTTTCTGATGCAATATTTGATTAAAGTTATATCCATTGTGTTCTCTAAGATTGTACCATTCCCTGTGACTGTATTTGGACAAGCATGAATTTTGCTCTGTTTTCAAGTGATTTATGTATTTTATTCTGGTTTTTTTTAATGATCACCTGTTCTTTACCATAAAAGAGAAATTGTCTTAAATACTTGTATGACATTATGACGATGGTTACCACTAGTATTTTCCGGCGGCCTCATGTAATGATCAGGCAATTCCTCTCTTGCTCATTCATGTTATTATCTTTTGCCGGTTGTCGGGAACAGGCAAGCCCGTTCTCTTAGAATCCTGGCTGACTTTTGAACTTCAATGATGATTCCTGCTTGTAGTTCCTCTTTAAGAGTTCAAATTTCAGTATTTGAAATCCCTTTTCTTACCTTCAAGCTGTAATTTTCTTTATTTCAAAAAGAGTTAATTACCCTTTTGGTACTTAACTGTGAAAAAAATGTACAAATTGGTGCCTAAAGAAATAAAATATATAATTTACACCGTGAATTTTCATAAAATGTATAATTAGCATATTAAACTTTCAAATTATGTATCTTGTTAACTCAAATTTTAATCTCATTGACCATGTCAATATACATATATGTAGTGTTTTGATAAATATTATCAAATTATTTATTAACTATATATACTATAAATACTTTTTTTAATAAAAAGGATCTAGAAAATATTTTTTTACCTGAATCTTAAAATTATTTAGGGGATTGATCAATTATTATTTGTTACAAGGTATCAGCATGATATTTTTACAAAATATTTAACATTTTTATTTAACAAATAACATAATATAACAAAATTATACTAGTTAAATACTATGTAAATAAGTTAAATTAACAGTATTAACATTTGGACTAAAATGATGTATTATTTAAAAGTTTAAGGTGTAAATTAAAATTTTATTTCTTTAAATATCAATTTATTTTTTTTTCAAAATCTAAGTACCAAAAATTTAATTAACTATTAAAAAAATTCATTAACATTCTTCTTGAGTCTTTAAACATAATATTTGGACTTTATTAATAATTAGTAACAGCCCATAACTTAAGTATTGATTAAGAAAATTTTAAATGAGACCTGTTAAATGGTTGGAATTTCAAAGTGAAAAGATAAAAATGATGGTATGGTATGATTGTCAATAATTATGTGGTTTGTTGGTTTCAATGATTAAGGTTTATTTTGCTTTTTATTTCAATAATTAGAGATCAATTGAAATTATTTGGGCTATTATTAACTTTCTTTTACTTAATTGAAAAGAATAAACTTTCATTCCCTCAAAAGTTATGAAAACATAAAGAACAATTTTATGAATGTTTCAATCCAAAACCTGTCATACTCTAATATCAAAAGAGTTACTATTGTACAATACATGTAGAAGTTTATAAAATTTAGGGTTCGATTTTTGCATAAAATTTTTCAAAATTAAAATATTGAAAGCATTACTAATAAATGGTTAGTTTGATTGGTAAAAATTATTTTTTTCGATGTAAAAATTTTAAATTAAAATTCAATCAATAATTATTTATTAAAATTATTTTAAATGCATAATTTTTTTTATCATTTAATTTTAATTTATTAGATACGATATCTTTTATTTTAACTTAAAGTTTAAATAATTTATTTACTTAAGATTTTAAAGTAAAAAAAATAAAATCTTAAAAGCATCATGATGATGAAAATTACATCTTTAAAATCATCCAAAAAAGATTAAATCCAAATAAAATTAAAAAAAAAGGGTTTAAAAACGATTTACATTTCTTACATAATCTAAAACCCAAATTGTTGAAAGTTTGACAATCTTATTTTATTAAATGAACCATGGTTAAGTCTTATCCGTTTGGTGAAGAAACTCATATTGGATGCCTTTAAGGTAAATATTCTATGCAAGATTTGGGGAATAGTAAATAATGATTAATTCCAAAGGGAATTAATCATGGGACATGTTTCTGGAACACTGCTAAAGTAAAAGCTCGAAAAAGAGACAAAAACAAGGTTGTTGTTCTGATCCATGTTCACTTCATCGCTACAATTCCTTACTCAAGTAGCCTTGTTGACGTCAGTTTGAAGGTAAAATGGATTAATGATGTCATCGTCAAGGTAAAACCATTTTAATCCTAGACATATTTTAAGAATATATTATAATATATAAATAAAATTTAAATTTTAAAATTTATGAAATATTTTTTATGAGATAAAGTTATAAAATTTTTTAATCAAAATAAATAATATTTTACAAATTAAATATTAATCTCTACCTCTAATCTCTAAAATTTGAAAAAAAAAAGTCTTCCTTAAGATTGATTACCTAACAAAGTTTGGAATTTTTTAATATATTTTTATATTTTTAAAGTTGTTTCAAAATTTGTATTGATTTAATTCAATTTGGAAAGATATTTTTAAAGGTGTCATTTTCGGTTTGATACATTCAATATTTTATTTTTTAAAACAATTTAATTAAACGCATTTGATTGCTTGATTAAATATTAATTTAAATAATATGATATGAGATGTAATTCTTAAAAATTATAAATTTATTATTAAATAAATTAAGTAGATACGTTTAGGTTAAAAGTAAAGTAAGAATTAAAAAATAGAAGATATTGTCTCGTGACTAAGATTGCAATGAAAAGAAGTGTGCAAAATATCATGATAAGATTTTGGTTAACTGTGTTAATCATTGCGGTTTTACCTCTATAAAAAAAACTATTGTTCGTGGGAAATATTTGAAGTTGTGAATGATATATTAATATTTATAAATTATTTAAATTTAATTTAAATAAAATTTGAATTAGATTTAATTATTATTGAATTGAGTTTAAATTTAAATAATTTGATTTATCAATTGAATTAAATTTAAATATTTTTATATTTGATTTGAGTAATTTATAAATTTAATTAAATATTTATATTTTAATATATTTTAATATTTTAATTAATAAAATATTTTAAAATCGAGTTCGAATTTAAACTCAAATATAAATAATTAAATTTTTATTAAATATAAAAATTAAATTTATTTTTATATGTTAATCGAATTTAATCGAGTAAATTCGAATAATTAAATTTTTATATCAATCGAGTTCAAGTTAAAAATATAAAATTTGATCGAATTTAAATTAAATTTTAAATTTAATTTAAATTTAAAATTAATATTATATCAATTCAAACTTAATCGATTATAGAAAAACTATTTGGCTTATAGAGTTATTGGTGATTGGTAGGTACTTATCCAAATGTCCAGGGGAATATAGCCCTTTTACCCCTAGCAAATTCATCTCATTGGAGGTATTGAAGAAAATTTTGAAGTTTTTTTTTTTTTTTTTTTAACGGAGTTCATAGTTTAAGATGAAAAAAAGTTATAAATATTAAAATTTAAAATTAAATTTATTAAATATTAATTGAATTAAATTTTAGATTTAATTTTAAAAATTTTATCTTGATGGAAAAGTTATATCCAAACACTAAAGCCTTTCTTTCCCCACGAAATAGTTGCTTATTCTTTACAATGGTTTTTATATCTTTTATATGTCAACTTGCAATTTTATTTAGATTTGATAATTTAAAATATAATAAATTAATATAATATAAACATAATATGAATAAAAATTATAAAAATGATATGATTTAAAATTTTAATAATAATTATATATAAATTCAATAAAATCATAAAAACACATTTTATATTTTTGATATAAATTATGAAATATAATTTTTACATAAAATATAATATAAATATATAAATTTTAATATTTTATATAACATGAATACACAAATTATCCTATTGATTATTAGCCGCAAAGTCATGCTTCGCTAAACACAATGTTTTAATTCTACTCAGAGTTTCCTTCTGATTCTATTCTTTGAAGTCTGAAATGATAGCTATAAAGGAGGTATCCTGTGTATAAATGTAACAAATTTACCTTTAAACATATCAATGCGAAGTTTTTTTTTTTTTTTTTTAGTTATGTCTTTTTTATATTTAATAAATATTTTTTAATATTTTAAAATTTTGGGCCCCTTTAAATTGCCACATATCAAATCTTTTTTTTTTTTTACTTTTTTTTTAGTTTTCCTATTTTTTTTTACTTTTTTATATTTAATTTTTACATTTTTTACATTTTTTTTCTTTATGGAGCTAAATTTTTAAAAATATATTTAGTTTTGGACGTATATATGTATTATATTAATAAAGTATTTTTTTACTTAATTTAAAAAAATTTTATTTTAATCTCAATATGAGATATAAATGTAGTACCTTCCATTAACTTTTTTTTATTCATTTTTAATTTTTTTCACCATTTTGACATTTTCTCACTTTTTTTTTTCCTTTTTTTATGTTTATTTTTTAGATTAGTTTTATGAGAAAAAAGGGTTAATTTATCTACATTTCATGAAAACTTGTTTTTTCTTTCCTTTTATCTTTTTTTAATTTGATAAAATTTTCATAAAAATGCAATGAATATATATGTCAAAATAAAAAAATTTTTGACTTGTGGCTAAATCAAACAATTTCAAACACAATACGAAAATAATACAAAAAAATATATAAAAGTGACAGATTAACATTTTTGCAAAAAATATATAAGGATTTAACATAAACCAAAAAATATATTTCATATTTTTTGTGTTTATATAAATTATGATACATAATTTTTATATAAAATAAAATACAAATACATTAATTTATAGTGCTTTACACTACATAAATATACAAATTATCAAATTTACTCATGGTAATGCGCCGGCACCTTTCTAGTAATGTATTATTGTTATAATGGGAGCTGCAATTATACTCAAAGATCATAAGATTGAATCTGAACCATCTCCTCTCGAGTCAAAGTTGGCAGCAATTGGCTCATCTATGAAACAAGTGAACCACATTTCAGGTATATTTTATGGATTAAAGAAGTTCATCAGAGCTGGATATCAGCCGCACAAAGCGTGGAGACAGGAGAAGGGGTTGTAAATGCTGGAATTTGAACCCGGACGTTCTGATACCACTTCTTTAGTGTGACTGTTGAACCGAGTTAAACCTCAGGTTCAATTAATTTAATCCTGTGAATATGGAAAGTATGGACTCAACAAGTTCAATCCAGTGAAATATTTTCTGGCGAATTATAGATTGCAAATCATTGCTCCAGCCTTCACTAGTTCATTTATGACAGTGAACATAGGTAAATTATAAAAGGATCAAGTATTGGCAAAGGATATAAGAAAATCATATAAAGAATGAAAATGTCTCTCCATATCCTAAAACAAAAATCCTGGAAATAACAAAGGAAAACAAAAAGAAAAGAAATCAATACCTAAGCAGAACACATACTGTACATAATTGCCTAAAAATTGTAGCCAGAACACTATACTTCATTGATTCAACATTTTCATATATCATCTGGCAGTTGAAAGTTCTGTGAACCGAAAATTTGGTGGGAGGAGTTTTGAACAAAGACGGCAACAGCACATTTGTTGCTGTTGAAACTATCCCATAGAGTGAAAGTAACAGTTCCTGAGACTGTCTTCTTGGCAGATATGTCTTTGACAGTGCAGAGCTTTTCAAGCTTCCTGACCACAAAATCATTGGATAGGACTTTGTCTTTGTTCTCTCCTGTAGGGCAGTCATTCACCAATCCGTTCTCATATAACGCCACCATAACATCGACACCATTGTTGTCTACCTTGGACCTCAAAGCTCCAGTTAGGGTCACTTGCAAGGACTCTGATGTAGGCCTTTGGAAATTTGCCTGTTCAGACAAAATTTGCACGATTATCACTTTCCTGACTAGCATTTTTGCTCACTCTAAGAAAAGAAAGAGTTGGTGAATTCATTACATGTGAATTTATGTTAGGTTAGACCTATGGTTTTTGACTAATAGCTGCCTTGATCTTGCACTTCAACAACATTGGCAGAAGGAAAATGGAAATCTTCTACCACAATTGCCATATCTTGAAGGTGATTTATGCACTCAGCAAAGAAGATGAATGGTTACCAATGAATTGTTAGTTCAATGATAGTGGAGTCCGCTCCAAGGCTGAGGTTCTCGAGTTGTAACCCAAAAGACTAAACCAAATAGTTTTACTCTTTGGTTTCTTGGTTTCTTAACAAAGTTTCAAGATTCAAGTCCATGAGTTAATTGTTTCATTGAATAGATTACCCATTTCCTAAAATTCTACATTTCTTAATTTCTTTCCACAATTACTTTCTGGGATCTCCAGACCAGAATTAGCAAAAACTTCACAGATTGTAGCAAAGAGCTAGATCTGAAATTTATCAATAAAAGCATAGAATAATAATACAATTCTCCATACAAAGGAAGATGAAGACAAAGACAAGATAAAAAGTACAAACTAATACAAACCTGGAATGTTGGAGGAGGGAACCTGGGGGCACTAGCAATGGTGGATAGCAAAGCATCTTCATCATTAGCCACACACTGAGCCCTGCCTTGAACCACAACCTGTGGTGTAAAAATAGTGTCAAGCTTCAAGGCCTCTACATAAGCCTTTTGTCTCACAGTCCATTGGCTTGAGCCATAAGGGTCTTTCCACCCCATGTAATCCCAGTAATCAACATGATAAGCCAACACAATCACCGGTGCATCGAGCTGAAAGTCCCCTCTCCCTAGCCTGGACAACAGCAGCTCAGCCGCCGGTGATGTGAAACATCCCTGTGAAGAAAACAACTCCACCAGGATTGGCCCTTCAACTGATGATGCTGATGCTTCTACTGTTCCATTGGTTTTTCCACTTGCATGAACTTCATTTCTTGATGAAGATGAACCCCGGCCACAACAGGCGAAGAGACGACGCGCCATGTTAACCTGGTGATCGTCTCTCTCTCAGCCCTCAGGGGTGGCCTAATGGTGGTCTATCAGCTCACAGGAAGGGAGAGAGATCGATCAGAATGTGTATATATTTGTACATATGTGATAGATGAATGTTACAGTAATATTTAGTAAATAAACAGAAATGAAATAAAAGTTCTGTGGGGAACAAATCTGTTTTTATTACGGTAACTTGAAAGAGTGGTAGGGAGGGAAATGTGGTGAGGAAGATGCTAAAGAAGGATTGGAGGGTTTTGAATAATTTAATACTTTTCTTAATATTGTTTACTATTTTTGATGTTTTTTTTTTCTCTTACGTCGGTGAAGACAGGTGGAGGAATCTTATCGGACACCGTTGCGTTACCGACACGAATGTGTCGGTGACACGTTGTCTTCTGTCAGGGTTTTGTTGGATGTCAGTGGGGGATTGAGTAACACCACCAACAGGGCTCTAACAGCACATTTTTGGCCTTAGAGAGAGTGGTTGACAAGGAATCTTAACCAAAAAGAAATGAGGAAAACATTTTCAGGAGAACAACCTTATAACACATTTTTGGTGGGAGACAGTGCAAAAGCCTTAACTTTTAGGTTGAGTTTCCTGTCATTGTGTTTGATTCTACCGTTCTAACACAACAGCTGTTGTATAATGGTACGTACTTATATCATGGATAGAAGGAAAAATCTTGAATCTCACATCGAACATAATAAAAAGGTTATTAAAGTATAAAAAGGTTCACACCATTTTCGTCTTGTGAAGCATTTTTTGTAGGATAAAACCGTGAGGTCAGGGGGTCAGAGCGGACAATAGCTCACAAAGGTGTGAATCGTGATAGTTAAGCTGATCCAGGACACCGAAAGGGTGAATGTCAGGGTCCCGGAGCCGTGCGGGTTCGGAGCTTAAGTTTCGACCCTTGACAAGTGGTATCAGAGCCAGCCTTAAACCGTTCGATCCACGCCAAGCACCTCAAGAGAGGCAGGCAGGGTGGCCAACCACCGTGACGAGGGTGTCATGAGGTTGGGTGCGGGAGAATGTCAAGGACCTGAGGAAAAGTCTTGAATCTCACATCGAACATAATAGGAGAGTCACTGGGGTATAAAAGGGTTCACACCACCTCCGCCTTATAAGGCGCTTTTTGTAGGATAAAACCGTGAGGCAGGGGAGCTAAAACGGACAATATCTCACAAGAGTGTGAACCGTGACAGGAAGGCTGATCTAGGATACCGAAAGGATGAATGTCTGGGTCCCGAAATCGCACGAATTCGAAACTTAAGTATCGATCGTGATACTTACACAAAGAATAAAAGAGGACTTCTAATCGACAGGCTCGGGATTTTAGTAGCTTGCTATTGACTTAATAATTTATATATTTGTATTTATATATTTTATATTTAATATATATAGAATATAAAAAATTATTATATTATAATTTGTGTTAATATATTAAATATAAATTATATTTTTATTTTCATTAAACTCATACAATTTTATTAAAATTTTAAATGATATGATTTTTTAATTTTTTTAATTATTTTCCTATTATGTTTAAATTACTAAATCTCGCTGCCATTCCTGTCAAGTCACCTTACTCACATAATGGGCTTTTTATGGTTAAGCTTTGGCAAAACTAAAAATTTGAAGCAGCCAATGAATCAATTTGGCCCAGCCTTTTAGAACAGTTGCAAGGTGCAGCAGTTGCTCATCTTATCTATTGATATGCAAAGGTGCATATCTGAAACCCACTCGAATAAAAAGAGTGAATTACCATCTTTGGGTTTTTTTTTTTTTTAATAGACATTGTGTCATGAAATCTATAGTATTTATTTATAGTTAAAATTTATGTTACTTGGGCTCAAAATCAATGTTGGATAAGAATTCGTCTAATTTTTTTAAAAATTTTTATAAATTTTAATGTAAGAGTTTCATACTATACCCGTAAGATATATACTCAACAAAGATTTCAAAGAAAATGAAGAGTCAGACCAAGTTATTTATAATCATATCGAACACAAGTGAAAATGAATTTATGATCATAATCAAATTATTCATATTAGAGTTTATATTTTATTAAATATCAAGTTTTTTGAAATTAAAATATGAATATGTAATAATGAAAATAATGCATCATTTTACGAACTTGACAAATAAGACTATGAATATCATATCTGGCTGCCTCACTCATGGCTGAATCCTACTGGTTAGCCACAAGGAGAAATCCGAGTGTATTCTATAAATAGGACTATGATTTTTGTAATTTTGCTCATGAATAGCCTCAATCAAGCCTCCCTTTCCCTTGAATTCCATGTGCTGTTCTCCATGGTAGTTGCAAGCTACAAGAATTATTCAATCAAAAGAGTCCACTAGGTTCTGCAAAATATTAAATGGCTCTCCAGCATAATTCCACAGAATCTGTTGGTGACCACAAGCATAGAATCCTTTTACGTGGTTGACCCATCGGCACTAGCCCTTTTATTCGAAACTGAAAATCCACCACCACTTGTTGTTAATCCACAACTCAGTTTAAATAGGCTCATTTTGCTTCACCGTATCAGCTTAAACTGTGTCTTTAGAAGAAAATTTGTGAACTTCTCTTTCACATTAGCCATGCTGGAAGGCAAGGCAGTCATTGGAGAGACTGATATGCTTCAAACCATGCAGCAGGATGCTCTTGATCTAGCTGCAAAAGCCCTTGATTTCTTCGATGTCACGGAGGCTACTGGGATAGCACGATTCATAAAGAAGGTAAAATAACAATTAGACATGATTTCAAAGTTTATGGAAATTGTACAATTTTGAGCAAGAATTACTGGTAATTCATTGCAGACTGAACCAATTCCATTCCATCTGATGTAGTTCACAATCTTTTGTCATGGCTTGTTCATGAAGGCTTTGTATTTGATGCAGGAATTTGACAGAACATATGGACCTGGGTGGCAATGCATTGTATTAACTGATTTTGGTTCATTTGTGACACAGTACACTGGCTGCTTCATTTATTTTTGCATTGGCAGCCTTGCAATTTTGCTTTTCAGGGGTTCTGCTGTTCTAGAAGCTGAAGTACACAAGTTTCCTGCTTTAAAGACAGTGAAAGCATAGCATTTACTTACATTTCTTTACTTCTTGTACCAACTTTTGAAGTGTAGTCCAGAAATATTATCATTAAAATTAAAGAAAAGAAGCAAAGAAGGAAACATTTCAGCTTCAGCAATGTATGTTTTTTTCCATTTTATTCTCTATTTTTTATCTCATTGCCTTTAATGGCATAGGATTGTGCATCAGAATTTATTTTTTCCCTTGGAGATGAAGAAAATTTTGGTTTGCTAGCAATGAATCATATCCGTTTATCCAATAAACAAAAAGCAGTGTTTAAATGTGGATAAGAATGTGTCCAGGTCAAAAATTTACAAACCATAGAATCTATTTCATCATTCCCTGAAGTAAATGCCTGGTAGTAACTTTCTTTGAAAAAAAAAATGTGGTCAGTGAAGCAACCCTGGCAGTGTCAGCCAGGTGAATTGATTGCTGCAATAAGAGATCGGGATTTTTTTTCAATTTTGTTGTTGAATGTGCTTTTTCCTTGAAACATATCAGGATAGTAGGCATTAAAACAAGAAGAATGTTCAAGTTTTAAAAAATGCAAGTGGCATAGCTGCAGGATTAGAAAATTTAACCTAGTCTTTCTACTAAAATTTAGATTTGCAGGTGCCAGGGAAAGAGAAGGATCACTATTCAGTTTTGGAACTGGGCCCTTAGTGCTAGTAATGGATGGAAAAAACCACTTGTTATAGAAGAAAACATACATTCATATCTAAATGAATTTGAAAGTGAGCTGTCTTAGAGATCAAAATCCCATTATGTTCTTTTCAGTATATACCTCTCTCAGTCTTTTGGCTATGTTCATTGCTAAGGATTGCTATAGACTATTGCTCTTTTTCATATGGTCACACCATTGCAACAAAAATAAGCTCATTTTAAAACAATGGAAGCTATTTTAAGGCCTCCAATTTCACATGAAAGATTGATTTTTTTTTTTTTTTAACAAAGGAGATCATAGTTTTATTGAAGAGATTAATGATTTTAAGATTTGAACTTCAAACCTATTGAAAGGTTACATAAACCAATTAAACTAAGACTCGAATTTAAAGGTTGAAAATATTATTGATATAGATGTAGATTCAGCATTTTTTAAAACAAAACCGGAGGCAGAGTCAAAACAAACAGTACTCTCATACTGAATCAGGTCGTTAGAAATGGTATAAGAACATGCGCTATTCTAAAATACCCGAACATACTGGACCTTCAGAGTCTACAGCTGCACTTTCACCAAGTAAATTCTACATTTCATAAGCATTTTTCACCTTCTCAAAATTCAAAATCATTTTGATTTGGCTTTGGTGAAGTCAACATAGCTGTATAAAGCCTCAGCCTGTCCTCCCCCAATGAATTACTCCTGGACAGTGGCCTCCGAGGCCTAATAAACGACAGCGAAGTAAGCGTTAACCGGTGCCTATATCTCCTCCAGGCCAACTGAATTGCCACAGCTGCCCAAGTCCTCCACCCGGGAGAATAATACCTGGCACTCCTCTTCACTCTTTCATTGACAAACGTGTACCTAAAATGTTGTGTAACATATTTGACATCTTCAGCTTCCAGGCCAAATGCCTCAGTAGTTTCAAGAGTTACAAGTGTTGAAGACGATGGTGGGAGCCTTTCGATAAATGGTCTTCGAAGACACCATGACAAGAGCTCATCACCGCTGAAATTTCCAGGGCCTAACATGCAGCAACTTTTCACACCATCTCGGAGAACTTGGCTACTTTGAAGATGTCCCCTTACTACAAAAAGCATTCTTTGTACCGGGTCACCTTCTCTGGTTATCTACATTAATACCAATGAGTAAGAACAATTTTTCTTGTTCAAAATTAATCCTGCATGAATGACATAATTAGTATATATGTTACTGCTACTTTCCATGTCTGATGCATATTGACGGACATGGATACGAAAGTTCGACCTGTCAAATATATGAAAAAATTTTAAAAAATGAACATAACGCTACCTAAGTGGAATATAAACCCAGATCCGACACTCACTTCAAATCTAAGGAGCCTAATAATTAATGTCTTACTGATGCTAAATTCCTCATTTATTTCAAGGATCGTTTTTTCTTGAATTTGTGTGAATATTCCAATTCTCAAGTCAAAAAGATTAAAATTTGGTACTTACAGTTTCTCCTTTGGTGAAAATTAGAGACTTAACACGATCACATATATTCTCTAGGACCAAATCATCCATGTGTTGGAATAATGGTACCTGGAACAAACTTAAAATTATCATAAGCCAATTTTTGTAGACAAAGTTCATAAATATATTGTGACATTTTAATCCTACATCAAGATATTTTAAAAATCTGTTATAATTTATAAATAAATATTTAAACTCATATTTATAAGATATCTTTTGTGAGATAAAATCGTAAGATTTCGGATTAAAATAAATAATATCTCATAAATATCTCGTAAATTGAGTATGAGTTTTCACATAATTAGAATATCTAAGATACATAAGAATCTGTCTAAATAATATTTAAGTATTTCAAACTTTTAAAATCAAAATTCCCAACTCTCTTATGAATTAAAAGAGAGTTGTTTCAATGTTACAAAGAGTAGCTCTAAAACAAGTTAGGCTGGATGATGCTTAGAATTTGGAGCTGAAAAAATGAAGGAATAAAGGATGATAAGAAAAATAATGTAAAAACAAAGCTTTAATTTGTATGGAAAAAAGAAAAAAAAAAAAAAGATTACTGTGATAGATGGGGTCCTGCCTCTGAAAAAGATGCATAAATCGTCATACTATTTTGTTCATGATTCAACTATTGTCATGTACCTTTCTGTCAGTTAAAAGGGATAATCTTCACCCAAAATCTGATTCCTTCTTGGCCCATCAAAGATGGAATTTTTTGAACCTGTATTGTATTAGTAAATTTTTTTTATATGATCATCTATGATTAGTGTGTTACCTGTCTAACTAAATCCAGGCAAAGATGGTACTTGATATCTCTCCTAAGCCCCTCAGGGAGGTTCCTGATCATCTCACATTCATCGACGCCGCGCATTGCCGCCCACCGTTGTCGCTCGTAGTTCCGAACCCTCTGCCGGAACCCTGAAGGCAGGCGCCTCTTCCTCATCCACCACTCTATATTCCTCATCTTCAGCTGCATTGCTTGTTTCTTTGACGTAGTTGCATGCAAAAACACCTGCACAGACAAGCCATCCAAAACAAACAAACAAGCTCATATGTTAAAACAATCTTTCTAATTTCTTTTTCTTTTTATTTATTATACTAAAAAAAAGTGAAAAGCTAGCTATAGAATTGGTGTGGGTTACTGACAGAAACTGTCTTGTTTTTGATGTAAACAAAATTGTCCTATGCATGTCTGAACATGAAATTATCAATGATTTATTCAATATCATAGGGACACATGGAATCCTTGATAGGTTCCACCTAACCTTGGAAACCTTTGGTTGTATCATTTATGCTTTGGTCAAAACCAACAGTTTCTCAAGGCCTTAGTGTTACATCTACTTCAACTTCACTGTCATCTCCAGTAACATTTTCTCTTTAAAGTTCTTCAATTTTTCGACTACAAAGATTTAATAAGTTTTCCTGTCTGCATCCGAAGTTCATCGAATGCAACTACAAAGTGAAATAAGATCGAGGAAAATAATAATTGCTTGTGTATTTACCTTGATGTTTCCAATTAACATTGTGACCAGAAGAAGTCCACTGGTAAGAACAATGATGTTGAAAACAACTTCTAGCCATTCTGTTGTGCTTTCCAAGTTCCCAAAAGTGCTGATAATTAACACAAAAAAATTGGTAATTAATATAAGAGAAAAGTAAGGTTCTGAAATGAAAATTCGAAGTAACTTATGCTGTTGCTTGATTTCGATACGTGGTGGGAGCCCTCTCATTGTCAGAAATTACGTTTTATGACTGGATCCTGACGCGATGGAAGGGCTTTCATTACGTATCCAAAACAAGCCTGAAGAGATGAGACACTGAACCTGAGAGTCATGAGGCCCCAAAAGATAGGAAAAAGTATCTTTTCAAGGCGACTATCATTTGTTACAAGCTGAACAGTCCATTTATAAGCTCCATAATCATAGTTATCAGGACTATCAATGCATGTGCTTCTTGCTTGCTTGTTTTCTGGCCAAGCCACCCTTGCTCTATCCCTGACCATACTACTTGTTCCATAGTAAATTGGGTCTTTGCAAGCCAATAGTCTCAGGTCACAACCCTCTACTCCTCTGCATTGCTCTTTTAGGCACTTTGCTGTCCTCTGGATCCCTAGCAAGTACCAGCATGCCCCCGCAGCCTTTGATGCACCGATTATCGGGTTGAGATAGAGGGAAATTAAAAACAAAAAAAACCAATAACAATAAAAATGTGAAAAAAAATTGAACAATATTGGACTGAATTCATGAAGCAAAATTAGAAGAAAATTTTCTTTCATCAAGTTGCTAGCTAGTCTTTGTTTAAGGTACATGTTTTTGCTATTATAAATTGCTTTGGCATTAATTCCCAAAAGTATTCTAATTAAAAAATAATTTCAGAAAAGGACAACTGCTTGAATTTATACTGTACCTTTTACCTCCCATATGAATCACGAATTAAGAAATAGGACTATGGTGGATTAAAAAATCAATGTCAAGTAGCACTTTTCACATTTGGGAAACTTTTTTTAATTCCCCTTTGTGTCTACTTTTTTATCTTTTATTTTTTCACACTTAGAGATTATTAAAATCTGATCCGTAAAATTAAAAATTTAATATTTTATCAACAAATCACATGAAATTATTGACAAATCTTTAATTACCTAAAAGACTTTATATCAACCAACAATTGTTCAAACTTCAAACTTTAACTTTATCATAAAAATTGAATACTCTCACACTTTTCATCTAAAAGGTGTAAGGATGTTCTTTTCACAAATCATTTCAAAAATTGTTGTTTTTTTCTTTTTATAAACTTTTTGTTACTAACGACAAAGAAACAAAACGTAAAAAGGATCATGAATTTAAAAAGAAAGTGAGATTACTATTAAAAGAATTGAAACTTGGCATTAAATTGAAAATAAAGGTAATTAAATTAACTTACATGTGAAGCAACAAAATAAGCAATCATATTGAGAGCAATCCCCCACCAAACGGTTCCAAAGATGTAACCGGAAAGGTTTTGCATACAGCGTAGGAGGCAAACCGAGTGGTAGATCTTCGGAAGGTATTGAAAGAGGAAGATAATCAAGAACACTGTCATTACTAGGGTTATCGATCCCTTTTCCAACAGAGATGGAATTGCCACCCATAATACAATCTACATTACATTTCAAATTCATGTTAACCATGAGAATTTAATACAATCATATCATATAATTTAAAATGTATTTTGATTTTAGAAGTATTCATCACTCAGGTCTGATCAAATTTGGCCCAAGTTTATACTTGGTATTAATAGTTTATATGTTTATTCAAATTCAATTCAGTTCAAAATTTCAAAATTTTAAATTTTCCCAAACCCGACCTCAATTAAAAAAAATAAATTTCAAACCTACCTATTAAATTTAATTTATATAATAAAAAATAAAAAAAGTATGATTAAATTAAGTTTAATAAGATTATATTTAATTCACATATATTTAAAATTTAAATTTAACAAATATATATAATTTTTATTTTTAATTTTTATATAATTCACATATATATATAAATAAATAATATATATATATATATGTGAATTCATACTAAACAAGGTCAAGTCAGGTTAACATTTTAAAATTTTTGTTTAAGTTTCAACCTAAAATTTAAATTGGCCCAAAAATTGTGTCAAAACCCATTTGATGAGTTTTAATTTTTTATCCAATCTCTTTCAAAATGTAGATGAGCTTTTGGATTAGAACGAGTAATTCGACCCTTAAATAGATTTATTTGATTTAATCACCAATTTTTGTCTATTTACACTTTTTTTATAAAAAAAAATCATGACTTAAAAAAGATTAAAAACAAAAATTATAAGCGATGAAAAATCAAATCTTAACCTTTATTATATTTTAATTTAAGATATTTGTGTTCAACAAATTTTAAATGTTTTCAATATGCATATTATAAAAATATTATGTATCCGTATCTGATATCCTAAATGCATGTAACATAGATTTTAATAATCAAAATTAGTATTGAAATGTCTCTTAAAATCAAAAGTGGGTTTAGAAAAAGCAATTGGGAATTTTTTTAAAAAGGACTAGTGAGAGTGAAAATAGAGGCTGTGAGAAAGGGAAAAATATGAGCACTGGATCCCTTTATCAGTAACGCACTGCTAGTCAAAACTTTTGAGAGAATTCGAGATTGAAACAATCATTTTATTCTTTTTGTCATTCCTCTTTAATTACTAATGGACCAGATTTTTTCTAAATCGTAAGTCATTTTTAGCATTAATTTATAGTAAATTTTAATTATATAAAGCTAAGGACACCATTTAATTAAACAAAGGAAAATTATATATATTTTAAAAGTAATACGTTGTAGATTTTTAAAAATAAAAATTCTCTTTTAATAAAATTATGATCCAGCCATAATATGTGCCTTCCTATACTGTAAAAGTTGATCTAACAATATAAAAAATGATATAATAATATGATATGTAAATAAGATATAAATGTGATACGGTTTAAAATTATAATAATAATTATATATAAATTTAATAAAATAAAAAAAATTTATTTTATATTTTTTTATTGATACAAATTATGTTATATAATTTTCATATAAAATATAATACTAATATATAAATTTTAATATTTTATATGATATAAATATACAAATATCATGTATATGTAAAAATCCTCCTTTTAGTGAAATAAATTAAGAGAAAACCTTAATTTACTAAGAAACAATGGAATATGAGTCAAATTAAAAACAATTTTTTGTTATTTTTTTAATATCCTAGTATTTGAAAACAAAGGACAGTTGAACTCATTTTTAATTTATCCAAGAGAAAAAGAATAATTGATTGATGTCATCCTTTTGGTTCAAGTTTTGAAGTAAAGATATTAATATATAAATAGTTTTTTTTTTTTTTGTTTTTATTAAAGTATTATTTCTAACCAGTTGGTGACCGTGCATGAAGCACGAGAGCACTTCCACTTGAATTATGAAAATAGTAGCTGTTATCACTTTGGGAGACAAACTATTCTTCTTCTTGAAAATTTCCCGAAAGATTGAAAAAGAAGTGATACAAAATAAAATAATGATGTAATATAAAAATATATAATAAAACAAAAAATAATGATAATAATAATGAAAAAAAAAAGTCTAAACAATTGTGTAACATGATATTTAGACGAAAAGTTTTAAATTCAAATATTGAGAAATTTTTTATTTTGAAATTTTTTATTTCTAAATTAAATTAAAAATAAATATAATAGGGAAACTCAACATTCAAGGGTTTAATGATTATTATCTCGCCTTTTATACATAAAAATTTGTTAATAATATGTATCCAAAGAAACAAAAAAAAAAAAAGAAGGAATGGTATCTTATTATTTTTTGGTTGAATGTATTTTTACAAAACAATTAATCTTCCCTAATTTGTTTTCAGATTTTGTAAAGGAAGATGTTCAATTATTCTAATTTTTTTTTGGAAAAAAAGTAAAGAAAGCATGGGTAAAATTAAAAAAAAAAATTAAAAAAGAAAACTTACCTCTAGTAATTAGTATTATAAATATTTTTTATGAGCATAAATTCTAATAATTAGTGTTTGTTTTCAATCGAATTAATAAATTTAAGAAAAAAGTTTGTTTTATAAACAAACAATGAATTTTTTTTAAAATTTCATTCGAATAAAAAGCTGTCACATGTTTTATGTTTTATTATTTTTTTATTATACTCTGTTAATTTACTAATTTTGTATTTAAAATCTAAAAATTTCTCTTGAAGAAAATCCCATTGCATTTCTAATAAAAGAGAGAAATAATTGAATTAACCCCTAAAGCCACATCTTAGTCAACAAACCACTTTTAAATGCATGGCCAATAAATTATGATTTAAACATAAAAAAATAACAAATTATAACAATGAAAGAAGATAAAATCTTTTGAACCTTTTATTCTTCCTATTTTATCCTTTCTTAAAAATGGAAAAACGACATAGTTGCATCACATGTTTGTTACAGTGCCCAAGGGGTATTCTTTTGCATGCAAAAAAATTATTAAAGGCATGCACTTGTCACCTCATCTAACACTAGTTAACAAAAATAAATAAATAAAATAAACCTCCAATGAAGAACCATATAAAATCTTAACCACTCTCTCACATTAATTAATGAAATAATAACTGATAATTAATATAGTATTTATTATTTTTAAAATTACAACTAATTAAAATTAATAATTTTAAATATAATATAATGATATGATATTAAAATAATAAAAAATAAAAATAATATAATTTAAAATTTTAATAAAAATAATATATATTTTATTATTTTATATTTGATATATTAACATAAATTATAATATAATAATTTTTATATTTTATACATTTTTAATATGCCACAGATATAATATGAATCCATAAATTGTTATATCTACGTTTCTTGCACAATTAACATTATTTAATACCATTATATTTTGGTTAATATATTTTTTGAATATAATTATAATAATAATGGGAAAATGATTGGATTGATTTATCTTAATAAAAATAATTAATTTACCTGGGGTAGGGGTAGGATTACTAGGACATCAAACAGGAATCCCTTCTTGGCTTTCAAGTACTTAAAGGCCAGGCGGCGAGCAATGGCTCCACGGGGCCTAGCTCCTCCAGCTTCACCTTCGCCTTGGTCTTCACCACCGTGGTCATTGCGTTGGTACGATGATTTCTTGGCCATCTCCAGTTGCAGCCACATGTTCCAAACATGCAGGGCGTCGGTCATGCACCGGAGCACCGTCACTGTGATGGCGAGCCACCCGTCGACGAAGAGGCACATACAAGTGTCACTTATAGAGAGAGCGTAGAAGAATAATGGGTCAACAAAAAGGCCTGTGGCACACACAAGGAGGAAAACCCTATTCCATTCTTGAACCCATTTGGCTCTTGGGTCAAAAACTTGCCCCAACGACCAACTTTTCCGACGAGAACCGCCGCACATGAAATACAAGCTTCTTCTATCACCTGAACTCTCTTCTTCATCAACTTCATCTTCCAGTAATTCATCTTCTCCTTCTTCTTCTTCTTCTTCTTCTTCATCATCATCATCTGTAAAATATTGCATGTGTGTTGCACGTGAAAGTGAAAATTCATGTTCACTTGCCATTGAAATATGAAAGAAAGAGTTTTTTTTTTTTTTTTGATTTATTGAGAGATTGATATTTGAGGGAGAGAATATAAGCAGGAAATTGTTAAGAGGCATAGAGTGAAACATGTCCCAGAAATGACATGATAATTGGAAAGACAGTAATATATGTACGGACAAAATTTTGAATGTACTTTAATGCCCTTGACATATGATGCATTTTGTCTTTAATTTTCTTTGTCTTAAGATTTTTTTTCTTATAAAAAATTTGCTAATATCTGCTTCTTACAAGTACAATTTTTTTCTTATTAAAAATTATTAGATGGATATAACATATATCCATTAATATATATATATATATATGGGAGGAATCAAGTTACATAAAATTTTTTTTTAGTTTTTTATATATTTTTAATAATTAATTTTAATAAATTTAAAAAATGAGAAAAATAAATCCAAAAAATTTAATCTCATTTCTTAAATTTATTAAAATTAATTATTAAAAATATAAAACTAAAAAATTTTACAATGATATAAGTTGATTTTTCTTAATATATATAATGGAATATGAAATAATTTCTCACATATAATTAGTTTGGTTTGTAAAAAAAGAAGTTTTTTTGTCAATCAGAAAAAAAAGAAGGTTTTTTGTCAATCAGAGTTCATTATTATAAAATATTATAAAAATAAAATTTTAAATATATTAAATCGGTATATAAAATTAAAATTTTAATATCATTTGAAAAATTAAATTTAAACAAAGCTTAAAATTTCTCTAATCATATTATAAAAAACCATGAAAGGCATTTCATTTAAATAGTTTGGTATTTGGAGATTTAATCAAAGGAATGTGCTTCAAATGATTAATTAGGTTTTTGCTTTGTCAATAATTTCCAAAAAGAGTAAAGTTTAAACAGCTTGAAGGTCTGAGAACAGCTAGCAAAGCAGATGGAGGCACTCCTGTCTTGTCAAACTTTTTATTTATTTATTTTTGCTGAGATTCTGTAAAAAAACAAAAAAAAGAAAGATCTGCCATCATCAAATGCCTAGGTGTCACTTATCACAATGTGTAAATCAATTCTTTTCCATGAGCTTGTGTTCATGCTTTGGCAAAAATGGGTTTACACTTATACTTTTACTTCTTTATTTCAGTTTACACTTTTACATATGAAAATCTTTTGTGTAAAACTCAAAACGATAGTGTGAAATTCAAACTCAAAACGACACAATTTTTTTCTTAGTTTTGAGTTTGAGTTTTACACTACTTTTTTTAGGTATATAAGAAATATGATCACATAATAAAAAATGTCATCATACAATTGAGCTATGAAGCAAACAAGATTCAATGTTAAAATGACACTTTAGCATTAGATTTATCCAATTGTCAGATTATTCATTCAATTCATGGTTGGTTTGGTTTAGACTTGATTTTGAACAAAAAAATTTCAAATATTAAATTATTAATATAAAATATTTTTAATCTAATTTTAATTTGGCATGTTTTTTAAAAATTAAAAATTAAATATTTTAAGAGTTTATAATTGATATATTGTCAATGTATATATTTTATATTCTGTCCGTAAATTAGATTATATTATCTCATTAAAAAATAAATATCAACATTTGAAATAAATATACAAAAATGAATATTTTTTAAAAAATTAACTCATTAATGAGATAACATCATTTTATTTATTTCATTAATAAGATAACATCATCCTGTTAATTGACAATATATAAAATTTATGTACTAATAATATATAAAATATATATACTGACAGTACATCAAATATAAATTAACATTTTAATATACTTTTTAAAAAAATTTCAAGCCTTTAAAAAATTGATTGGACTTAATTTGACCCATAAACACCTCTGCTTAGTGTTGTGAGAATCTTTTGTCTATGCTTCTAAACAACCTTAAGTACAATCTAAAATTCTTCCCAATAAAGAATGTTTCGAAAACATTTTACACACATAATATGCTATAGATTGTTGGTACATATATGAGCACTATCATGTGTAGCTTCTTAATTTTGTCTAAATTCTTTTAGCAACTTTTTGGAGGCATTTTGCTAAACCCATTCACACGAGGGCATTGAAAAGCTCAAGAAGACAAGAGAGTGCAACTCCCAAAGTAAAAACAAAAAGAAATTGAAATAAAGAAGTGAAAGTGTAAAGTGAATATTGAGAACTTAGTTTTTGCGTGTATATATTTTTGTTTTTATATAAATAATATATTCCATTTTCAATCTTGCAAAATTTCTTAGGTAAATTCAAGTACAACAAAGGGGCACAAATTAGACATTGGCAAAAAAGAAAAAAGGACCCCTTTTAAAAAAATGTGATTCCATTATGCTAGACATTTGCAGATCATCTTTTTATATATATATATTAAAAAAAAGCTTAATTTAAAGATATAAATTGTTTAAAAATTCAGGATTTTTTTTATAAAAAATATTGTAATGCAATGATAGAGAAAGAAATTACAAATATTGATATTTAAATTACAAACTTACTTGATTTCACTTTTTAAAAGTGATTGTATGAATTAAATAGGACAAACGTCGATTTAATTATCTTTTTATTTGATAAATTTGGAAATTTTTATTATATATTTTATTATATGAATCTCACTTTTGATGTGTGTTTATCCTTTTGATTAATAAAAATGAATTTAAAAAATATCTCAAGGAAAAGATGAATGTTTTATGCAAAATTGAATTTAGGAAATTATTGTGCTTCAATTTCTGTCTCTTTCGTGATATAAAATTTTCTCTTCTTATTTGTTCTAACTTGATAAGAATGCTTTCAATCAAACAATGGTCTAGAAAATTTCTCAATTATTTGCAATGTCCACAACATAAAATCCAGACAAGGAAATACTCCCTTCATTTTTTTCACCCATGTTTCCTTTGGTGTATTATAACATTTAAAGTAAGATTTCTTACCAAAGTAAAGGCACCATGCATTAAAAATAACAAAAAATAACCCACAATTTTAAGACAACCAAAAGAAATTAAAAAAATTTAGTAAAAAGAAAAAGAAGATATACTCCAAACTTTATTTTATTATTTCATTCAGTTATTTTTTAAAAAGTGACATTTAATAATTATAAAATTTTAATTTTAATATCCATAATTTATTTTTTTATTTCTACATTGTGATATTTTTATAAAAAAATGCATACAGTAAAAAATTATCTATTTTTAACCAATATTTATTGTCTTCATATTGTCAATCATTGCTCTCGAATTTCAAGACAGGCCATAATTGGTAGGATCAGAATTCAGAAACTAGAAAATGTTTTCTAATCATTTGCCCCACCAAGATTGTTGTCCTCATAACGTTACCTATAGCTTTCAAAATTTAATGAAAATAATGATTAATTGTTTTCTCTTGGGAATTGAAAAAAAAAATAATATTCTGATACCTTGGCTAGTTTCCTTGCTCTTTGGTCTTTCCCTCTCAAATCTTAGATGATCATTAAATGTATTTCACGGCCAACATACACAATATTGTTGGGTTTGATTTTTAAAAATCCATTTTTAATATATAAAATATTATCCGTATTTAATTTGAAAGGTTTTGTAAATATAAATATAAATTTTAATATATAATAAAAACAAATACTTACAAATTTCATTAGATGTTGTAATTTGAAATTTTTGAATTTCCAATTTTGAAATGATAATGTCGGAAATATAAGATGATATAGTATTATGATCTCCAATTGCACAACTTACTTAATAAATCATAACCTATCCAAAAAAAATCTTGAAAAACAATAATTCATCAAAGAAGGGAAAGTTTGTAGAGAAAACAAACAAAAAATTGAAATGATTTACATGGAAGGGGTACTTTGGGAAAAAGGAAAGAAAAAAAAATGAAAGTAAGAGAGGCAATGAGGAGGGTGAAGAAAGAGACATTGAGATAGGAGTGGAAGTGGATACGATCTTGTTCACATAAAAGTTTAAGCAACACAGTTTCCATGCAACTTCTTATATTTTGTTTGTTTCTTCATCAATTATATATGTATAAAACATAATAACCATTCCATTCTCAAAATGGTTTATTGGGCAAAGGGAAGTTAGCCACTCCATCACTTCTCATCCTCTTTTTCTGTTGGCCTATCATTATTTGCAAAGAAACAATAATATCAACAATAATAATGGATTCAGATTTAATTTAATTGATTCACGTAATTATTTTTAAAATGTAATATTAAAAAGTTTGGAGTTCAAGATAAAACTTATGTGAAATTCATTAAGTAAAATTGGTGAAGTTTTTTCTTAAAAATAATTTAATAAAAACTTTAATAAAAAATCAAAATTTATAGATTGATAGAGTTCAATGTGAAGATCAATAATATATATAAAAATATTAAAAATATTATTTATAATTCAAATTTAATCAATACTTTTTAATGATAAAAATTTTATCAATATTTTTACTAACAATATTTATCTAAAAATATATATAATTTTTTTCCAAATTTACATACTTAATTATGTAATAGGTCTTTTTTAATTTATCGTTTTAATTTTTTATTTTAGTTCTTGTTTAATTATTTTAAGTAGGGAATTTTACAAATTTCACCTAAATAACTTTATTTAAATCTTTTTCTGTGATTCAAATCACAGCACTTATAATTTCTTTCTTTATTCAAATTGCATTTTTTTTATAAAAATATAATTAAAACAACACTAATAATAATAAATTCTTAGTATATTTCTGTCCACATATATTGTTAGGTGACGAAAACAACAGTGTGAGATTATTGGAATAAATATGGACTATTGTAATCATAACAAAATGTTTGATTATATAAAACAAGAAGAAAAAAACACAAAGATGTTCTTGATTGAATCCTTTGATCACTCCTAGCTGGCTAAATGTTAGGAAGAAAAGATATTCAATTCAAACTCAACTTTTTGACTGAAGACTGGTTAAATTTTTTTAAAAAAACTTTTTATAATACAATCAAGAATATCATAAATTTTATTTGGGATTAATTTCCTATTTATGTGATTATAAAGGTATACTCCTAACATCGGTCTTAAGTATATACATTTTTATTGAACAAACAATGTTTGAGTG